GTACTTCCCATCTCCAGGACTCAAGTCCGGCCTGCCGGTTTTCCTGAATCCCTTCATAAATGTTACTTTGCTCACACTCCAACAGCACATCAAGTATTAAAAACCATTTGTCTCCATTCACTCCTATCAAACACGCTCACGCATGCCTGCTGGAAGTCCAAGCCCCTCGCACACAAAACCTCCTTTACCCCCTCCCTCCCACCTTTCCTAGGCCGGCCCCTACCCCGCCTTCCTTCCACTACAGACTGATACACTCTTGAAGTCATTCTGTTTCGCTCCATTCTCTCTACATGTCCGAACCACCTCAACAACCCTTCCTCAGCCCTCTGGACAACAGTTTTGGTAATCCCGCACCTCCTCCTAACTTCCAAACTACGAATTCTCTGCATTATATTCACACCACACATTGCCCTCAGACATGACATCTCCACTGCCTCCAGCCTTCTCCTCGCTGCAACATTCATCACCCATGCTTCACACCCATATAAGAGCGTTGGTAAAACTATACTCTCATACATTCCCCTCTTTGCCTTCAAGGACAAAGTTCTTTGTCTCCACTATTCTTTTTATCTTTAAAATATTTTTCTATCTTCACCACATGGAAATGAGAAACTGGGTTATAATATGTAGACTTGCATATATTACTAAATGAAAGTTTTTTTTTTTTTGGGTCACCCTGCCTTGGAGGGAGATGGTCAGTGTGTTAAAAAATAATTACTAAATGTAAAAAGAGGTGTTTCTTCTCTTTTGGGTCACACTACCTCAGTGGGAGACGGCCGGTGTGTTAAAAGAAAATGTATGTGTGCATGCATATTCACAATGCATGTGCATCTGCATATGGTTAAGTTTGTATGAGTGGGTGAGCATAGTATGTTCCAAAAGTTGCTGTGTTATGATGAGTAATGATATCAGTCAGTTCTTGTGTAAAACATTCCTTGCATCAGGTGTTGTTTTAGCTGTATTCTTTTTTTCATTCTTTCTTACATCGTGTTTTTTCATGTTGGCTTGGAAATGGATATAATTTTATTCAATAATACCCACTGTTGCTTCATGCTTGAGGATTGGCCTGATGTTGTGTGTGTGATGTGCAGTGCTTGAATGATTGCCTGTTTTTTTTCCATCATGTTACTGCTAATTGAGGTGACTTCAAAAAATAATCTGTCATTTATTCTTAACTGTCTATCAAGAAATATACCGATATTACAATAAAATGGACCTATTTAAACACATCTCCATGCATTATTCAGATTGCTTGCTACAAATGTATTCTGGTATACAGGTGGTTGCTTTTGGAAAATGAGTTTATGTACCCATTTGTAGTTCTGGGGAGCAAGTATGCTCATGGTATCACATTTTTAGTTTATTGATTTTTAAAGCTCAAAGAGTTTGTATTGCACAACACTACATACAGTGGATCTGTTTCCAGTTGTCATCTTTTCATTACTGTTTTTTTTTTTTTTACCTTTCCAACGCACTGGCCGTCTCCCACTGAGGCAGGATGACCTAAAAAGAAAAAATTAAAGTTTTTTTTCTTTACATTTAGTTATTTATACAGAGGAAGGGGTTACTAGCCCCTATAGTTTGCAGTTGTTGCCTTGTCTCCCTGCTGATGGTGGGAAGAAATCTTCCTTATCTGTTTTCTCACTGTCTTGATGTTCTTGCATATTGTAGTATGTGGTTATTCCATCTCTTTCCTTTTATGTAACAGCAGAGTAATTTCCAGTCTTTTCCGTTATTCATATTTGTTATCTGGAGTCTATTATGTTGCACATCTTCACATTTTTTAATGTGTATAGTATTCGACTATGGTAATGTAAGATATGGGCACCACTTTACAGCCACATGTCTTTTAAATCAGACCATACCACGGGCGGGATTTGAACCCGCTGTCAGAGAGCCTCAAAACTCCAGACCGTCGCATTAGCCACTGGACCAGCTAGCCACAATAAGATTCGTCCAACTAGGTTGTGGCTAGCTTGTCCAGTGGCTAACGCGATGGTCTGGAGTTTTGAGACTCTCTGACCGCGGGTTCAAATCCCGCCCGTGGTATGGTTTGTTTGCAATAGTGTCATTACGATTTCGTGAGTCTTTTAAGTCAGGGTTGAAGGACTCAGTGATTTGTGGCAAGAGTTGCTTGCATTAGTATTCCCATAGCTTGATTTGTATCAGTTTTGCTTCCTCTGGCACATATTCTTATTGCAGATGGGTGAGTGTGAGGTAGTCTACAGAACTATTTGTTACAAGTTACTGTTAATCCACAATTTGGTCATACATTCTTTGCTACAAGTTTTGGGTTTCATTATTTAACCCTTTGACTGTCGCGGCCGTATATATACGTCTTACGAGGTACCGTGTTTGACGTATATATACTCATAAATTCTAGTGGCTTCAAATCAAGAAGGAGAAAGCTGGTAGGCCCACATGTGAGAGAATGGGTCTGTGTGGTCAGTGTGCACCATATAAAAAAAATCCTGGAGCACGCAGTGCATAATGAGAAAAAAAAAACTGACTGTTTTTTTAATTAAAATGCCAACTTTGTGATCTATTTTCATGTAGTATTTACGGTTGTATTCTCGTTTTCTTGGTCTCATTTGATAGAATGGAAAACATATTATAGAAATAGAGGTGATTTTGATTGATTTTACTATAAAAAGAACCTGGAAATGGAGCTCAAAGTAGGGGAAATGTTTGATTTTTGCCCATGTTCAAAAGTAAACAAATGATGTCATTGTCCAATAAATGTCCAACTAGCTATTCTGATATGCAGTCATGAATGGGTTGATGTTATCTACACAATTATTACAGTATTGCAGTAGTCTGCATAATAGTAAATCTTCTATTTTTTGTTTGAATAAAAATTCAAAATAGAAAGCAAGAGTAATATCAGAGGGGCCTGAAGACATGACTGATGAACAAAGAAAATGTTATTTTAGAGCCTGGAATGTCTGCATTGTTCATTCTGGACCTTATTTTGAAATTGTCATATTTTTTAATTTTCGTGAAATTGGTCAAATTGCAAATTTCTGACCACGTTATTGGGTAGTTGAAATTGGTAAATGGGCAGTTTCTTGTACTCAATCGATAGAAAAAAACGGAGTTCTAAAGAAATAGCTATGAGTTTGGTCGACTAGAACAATGGAATTAGCCGAAAATAGGGCTCAAAGTGGGCGAAATTGCCGATTTATAAATATCGCCGAGGTCGCTAACTTCGCGAGAGCGTAATTCCATCAGTTTTCCATCAAATTTCGTTTTTTTTGGTGTCATTACAATCGGGAAAAGATTCTCTATCATTTCATAAGATTTTTTTTTTTTTTTTTTTAAATTTTGCGACACCAGGAGACACCTCAGGATTGGGGGTTGCGACAGTCAAGGGGTTAAATATTTAAGATTTGGACACGTCCAAAACCAGTAATATTACGGACTATAGATGTAAATTATGCAAATAACCCGCACATAGACGAGAGAAAAGTTTATGACAACATTTCGGTCCGAATTAGACCATATCCAAGCCATTCACAGTGTGACTTCTGAAGGTTCAATTCAGACTGGAACATTGTCATAAGCTCTTCTCACTCCTATATGTGGGTTATTTGTGTATTGTTCCAGTCATGGTATTGTGCCTTTTTGTTCTTTATGGATGTAAATTATATGTATATGAAAGGTGAAATAGTGTATGCATGGTGAGCTAGACATAAATGTGGAAGTATGATTGAGGGAACGTCTATATATAACCCTTGCAAGGGTTACTCGAATAGATATCATTTTGCTATTCAGATATAAAATCTTGTATTTTGGTGACTGTATGATAAATAATTATAGAGCTCAATGTTAAATTATACGGAAATACTAAAGCCATTGCATACTTCTATTTTCAGTGTACTGACAGTTGCTAGTAGTGTAGTGTTGCATAACATAAATATCCAGAGATTTAGAACACGATAAACTGCATGAATTAAAACTGTTTCTGTGGTATAGTACTTGCCTCTCTTGCTTACCCTTTAACTTAAAATCTCTTTCTTTATATCCTTAACTTTGCTAATGCAGATTTCCACCTCTGTCTACTCTTGCACTTGAGAAGTAGGATTCACAACTTGACCAACAAATTGGAGATGGAGATAAAACTTGACAACATTTTGGTCCTTCCTGGTCCATTATCAATTCCAGGATGGTCCAAAATGTGTAGGGACTGTGAGCTGCATTCTTCAGGATTAGGATGCAACTGATAGCCAGCTAGTAGTGGATTTTTCTATAGTTGTACAACTGGGTAATTTTGTAGGTAAAACAGGACAAGTTTGCACCCTAGAATATGAAATACATGAAGAAAGCCCATGATGTTTTCCATTTTTATTTAAATCATGCCAACTTAATATGACTGAAATAATTCAAGTCTGTTGTTCTCCCCTCAATCTTGGCTCACACTCTACCCTTGTCGGAAACTTCTCTGGACACTCATGGGTCTTCATTTGCAACTGGTAATTTGACCCCCCGTCGAATGATTGTAATTGATTGTTCAGCGAGAGGGTAGTCTGGAATCTGGTGGGCAAACGAGTCTTACTCAGAACCTGCTTCCAGAAGACTCGAAAGGTCCCATCCAGCTTGGGTATGTATATTATCAGTGTACTGTATATAATACATGTAGTATGTATTATTTTTTGGTGAAGATAATGTTTTGGCTATAAAAAATAAACACAGTAGTTTTAGTATGCTTTTGTTTAGTGTTAATGTAGTATTCCTGGTAAGACATTTCTTTTCAAGTAGCTTGTACATACTTGATTTTCCTTAGGTAGGCTATTTGAAATAGGTTCTTGCATACATTTTCTTCTGTTAAGCACTTTTTGCTTGGTAAAGTAAATCCAGTGAGTGGACGTTGTGGTAGTATAATAATTTGTACTGATTGCAGCTTTTTAAGGTACTGGAAAATGTCATTTCAATCTATAATAAAAAAAAATAGTGAATTAATGATAATAAGTTGTGACTGAGATGATTTTATTCACATTTAGATTTGTTGCTGGAGTGATCCTTCGGGAGAGAATTCCTGCATTTGAACGGATGCTGTGGCGGGCATGCCGCGGCAATGTGTTCCTCCGTCAAGCTGAAATGGATGATCCACTAGAGGACCCAGCTACAGTAAGTGCAGGATTTGTTACAGATTTTTCTCTGCTTAATCTCATCCCTAAATACTTTTGTTTAGTCAGTGATTTTTTAGCGTACAGGTACTTTTTATTAGGAAAACAGGCAGTCAGTCTTCACAAGAGGCATTTCAAAACCTTTAAAGGATTTCTTACAAATCCTTGTTATTCTTTCATCTACCTGTTTGCGTTTATTTTTATAGGCTTATCTTAAAATGTTTATCAGTTAAATTTCTGCATATTTTTCACTTAGGGTAATGCTTTTGTATCAGTATAGTCTCATTTTCTTATCTGTTTTTCTTCAAAATTTTATAACATTAATCTTTATTTCTTTTTCCTGTCCATTCCATATTTACATGCTTCTCTCATATCTCTCTTTTGGGCTCATTTGTCACTCGTATGCTTTATAGCAAAGGTATTTTACCTTTGCCCCCATTTGGCTATTGTGTGGTTGGTATAATTTTCTTCACTATAGTTGTTGTAACTATGATTAATCATATTTTAATCTTGCAGGGTGAGCAAGTCTACAAGTCAGTGTTCATCATCTTTTTCCAAGGAGATCAGCTAAAAATGCGCGTCAAGAAGATCTGCGAGGGTTTCCGTGCCACCATGTACCCATGCCCTGAAGCTCCTGCTGACAGACGGGAAATGGCCATGGGGGTCAAAACCCGCCTTGATGATCTCAATACTGTAAGTAGCTTCAAGAAAGATGGATTTGAAATGGTTAGCATACTAAGGGAAGCTAGGGAGGCTACAACTTCCCTATAATCTTCTTCACCTCTCAAAGCTTCTCCAAATAGAAATAATAATAATAATACCTATGTATTCAGATATTTGGGAGTGGACGTGTCAGCGGATGGGTCTATGAAAGATGAGGTGAATCATAGAATTGATGAGGGGAAAAGGGTGAGTGGTGCACTTAGGAGTCTGTGGAGACAAAGAACTTTGTCCTTGGAGGCAAAGAGGGGAATGTATGAGAGTATAGTTTTACCAACGCTCTTATATGGGTGTGAAGCATGGGTGATGAATGTTGCAGCGAGGAGAAGGCTGGAGGCAATGGAGATGTCATGTCTGAGGGCAATGTGTGGTGTGAATATAATGCAGAGAATTCGTAGTTTGGAAGTTAGGAGGAGGTGCGGGATTACCAAAACTGTTGTCCAGAGGGCTGAGGAAGAGTTGTTGAGGTGGTTCGGACATGTGGAGAGAATGGAGCGAAACAGAATAACTTCAAGAGTGTATCAGTCTGTAGTGGAAGGAAGGCGGGGTAAGGGTCGGCCTAGGAAAGGTTGGAGGGAGGGGGTATAGGAGGTTTTGTGTGCGAGGGGCTTGGACTTCCAGCAGGCATGCGTGAGCGTGTTTGATAGGAGTGAATGGAGACAAATGGTTTTTAATACTTGACGTGCTGTTGGAGTGTGAGCAAAGTAACATTTATGAAGGGGTTCAGGGAAACCGGCAGGCCGGACTTGAGTCCTGGAGATGGGAAGTACAGTGCCTGCACTCTGAAGGAGGGGTGTTAATGTTGCAATTTAAAAACTGTAGTGTAAAGCACCCTTCTGGCAAGACAGTGATGGAGTGAATGATGGTGAAAGTTTTTCTTTTTCGGGCCACCCTGCCTTGGTGGGAATCGGCCAGTGTGATAATAAAAAATAAATACCTAGGTAGTAGGTTGGTAGACAGCAACCGCCCAGGGAGGTACTACCGTCCTGCCAAGCGAGTGTAAAACTGATACCTGTAATTGTTTTACACGATCGTAGGATTGCTGGTGTCTTTTTTTTTCTGTCTCATACACATGCAAGATTTCAGGTATGTCTTGCTACTTCTACTTACACTTAGGTCACACTACACATACATGTACAAGCATATATATACATACATACCCCTCTGGGTTTTCTTCTATTTTCTTTCTAGTTCTTGTTTATTTCCTCTTATCTCCATGGGGAAGTGGAACAGAATTCTTCCTCCGCAAGCCATGCATGTCGTAAGAGGCGACTAAAATGCTGGGATCAAGGGGCTAGTAACCCCTTCTTCTGTACATATTACTAAATGTAAAAGGAGAAACTTTTGTTTTTCCTTTTGGGCCACCCCGCCTCGGTGGGATACAGCTGGTGTGTTGAAAGAATAATAATAATAAAAATGACAACAGAGCTTCAAGACAAGACATTTAGACTCTCCCAACTAAATTGCCAATCCCTAAGCCCTTCCTGTATGGAAATTCTGGAGCCAACTCTGTTTTTTTTAAACAGTCATTTTCCACCAAGATGGGGGTCACCCAGTGAAGAAAAATGTTAATCTTTCATTCTCTAGCTGTTTTTCTGGAAGTGGATAGATAACAAATTTGACAAACTTTTTTCTGCTTCCTGAATTATTCCATACCTCCACACTATTTTCTATTTTTTTAGCTTCTTATTCTATGCATAATATTCATACCTCATATTGATCTCACATACAATATCAGCTCTGCCTCCAGGCTCCTCATCTTCACCTTTGACCTGATATGGAAAATTAAATCTTGACAGGTGTTAAGCCAGACACAAGACCACCGTCATCGAGTGTTGGTTTCTGCCGCACGAAACATCCGCGCCTGGATGATGAAAGTTTGGAAGATAAAGAGCATTTATCATACTCTTAATATGTTTAACTTGGACGTCATACAGAACGGTTTGATTGCTGAATGCTGGATCCCCGTTGCTAATTGGGAAGATGTGCAGCTTGCACTTCGCCGAGGCACTGTAAGTATTGCTACTTGGCATTTAAGTAGAAGATTTAATCTTAATTCAAATTCCGAATTTAAAGGTGAAAATAAAGATGTTTCCTTCCTCTGTAAGCCATGTGTGTCGTAAGAGGTGGCTAAAATGGTGGGAGCAAGGGGCTATTAACCCCTTCTGTATGAATTACTAAATTTAAAAAGAAAAACTTTTGTTTTTTTTGTTAGGTCACCCTGCCTTAGTGGCATATGGCCTGTTCATTGAAGAAAAAAAAATAGATGTTATTGAAACTATTATTCAGAGGGCTAAGGAGAGGTTGTTGAGATGGTTTGGACATTTAGAGAAGATGGAGTAAAATAGGGTGTATAAATTTGTAGTGTAGGAAGGTGGGGCAGAGGTTGCCCTAGGAAAGATTAGAGGGAAGGGTAAAGGTTTTGTGTGCAAGGGGCTTGGACATCCAGCAGATGTGTGTGTGTGTTAGGAGTGAGTAGAGGCAAATGGTTGAATCCTGGAGGTGGGAAGCACAGTGCCTGCACTCAGAAGGAGGGATAGGGATATTTACAGCTTGGAGCAGCATCTGAACTGTAGTATCAGTGCACCTCTGGTAAGACAGTGATGGGATAAATGATGGTGAAAGTGTTTCTTTTTTGGGTCACCCTGCCTTGGTGGAAGATGGCCAGTTTGTTAAAAATAATAATAATAATAATAATGATAATAATAATAATAATAATAATACACAATTTCTTTGAGCATGTCTGTAATTTGTCTTTACATATTATTCATGAGCATATTACTATTTATTTTATTAATGTTTACCTATTTTACACATAATTTATTTGCTAATAGTACAATATTATTTTACTGAAATCTTTTCATTCATGCCTTTGTTTTGTACCTCTTGCATTTACAGGAGAAAAGTGGAAGTTTGCCTGCAATTCTCAATAGACTGAGCACATTGGAAGCTCCACCAACATTTCACCGCACCAACAAATTCACCAAAGCCTTTCAGAATCTGATTGATTCCTATGGTGTGGCTACATACCGAGAAATAAATCCTGGTTAGTAACACCTCTTTTAAATTCCAGAAAATATAAAGGCATAAGCAAAACAAAATGGAAAATTGATAATGCTAAGTAGTAGGCAACAGTTTTTAAGATAGTGAAATTTTGTCCAATTGGACTGTGATAAAGGGGCTTGAATATGCATTGAAGTAGTGTAATTTTAATGTGTGGTATACACCTGGCAGTATAAACTTTTATTAGATAGTTTTTACTCTGCTGAGAAATCTAGGCTCTATACTATTCATGATGAATGTTAAATAATAGGTGACAGACACATTTTTTATTTCCCCTGTCATTATACAGTTAGGTTATAGTCACTTAGTGGAAACACTGCTCATAGATCTGTATGATATAATGGATGTATTGATATATATTTAAGAATTAATCATATTTTCTTATTGACAGCTCCCTTCACCATAATAACTTTCCCATTCCTGTTTGCCATTATGTTTGGTGATGTTGGACATGGAATAATTATGGCACTTTTTGGGGGTTGGATGGTTTGGCGAGAGAAACCTTTGTCAGCTAAGAAAACAGATAATGAGGTATGTACATTGTGGAGGAATATATTATGTTTGTAATATGCTTTTGTATTCAATTTTCAAATACACAAATAACCCGCACATAGAAGAGAGGAGCTTATGACGACGTTTCAGTCCGACTTGGACCATTTACAAAGTCACACTTAACGAAAAGGGCAGGAGGAGGTAGTGTGACTTGTAAATGGTCCAAGTCGGACCGAAACGTCGTCGTAAGTTCCTCTCTTCTATGTGCGGGTTATTTGTTATCGATTTTCATATAGTTTGTATTCTCAAGCTAAAATTTAGTTTTAATTTTCACTGCTGTCTCTGGTCAAGGCAGGGTGACCCAACGTGGACAACAATCATTATCATCATTCAAACCATGGAATGGGTGGGGTTTGAACCAATGATGAGCGAGTCCTGAAATTCTAGGCCAGTGTGTACTCAGCCAGCTGAAGTTTTAGGACTTGCTTACTATGGGGTTCAATCCTCACTCATTCTGTGCTTTGTTTGCAGTCGTATTATTATGATTTCGTGAATCATCATTCATTCAATTGCTCTTTTCTCAAAAGTGTGCTGACATCACAATTCAGATACCTATATGTGTGTTGTGAAAGTCATTAAGAAATGTCATCCTCTGAAGGCTTACAGAGGCTATTTATAGTAATGCATTTTTAACACTGGCTATCTCCCTCTGAGGTAGGGTGACCCAAAAAAGAGGAAGATTTCACCATCACTCATTTAATCTCTGTCTTGCAAGAAACATGCTGTTATCACAGTTCAGATGGCCCTCTGAACTGCAGCATCCACATCCATCTTTCAGAGTGCAGGCACTGTACTTCCCACCTCCAAAGACTCAAGTCTGGCTTACCAGTTACTCTTAATCCCTTCATAAATGTTAACTTCTCATGTTCTAACAGCACATCAAATTACAAAAACCACTTGCCTCTGCTGACTCTCTTAACATGTTCATACATATCTGTTGGATGTCCAACACACTTGTGTGAGCATGTTTTGCAAATTCTGTGCATAATGTTCTCGCCACATGCAGCTCTCAAACATGACATCTCTGCTTCCTCCAGCCTAGTCTGTGCCACAACATTTAAAGCCCATACTCCAAATCCATATAAAAATGCTCCTAGCAGACATTGCATCGGTGAGCCACTAACATCAGTGAACTAGTTTACTTATTCAAATACCAGATAAGCCTGGCACAAGGCTGGGCTGCAAAAGTAGAACTTTAAACCAGTCAGGGGTATATCTCAGATACTACGCTTTTGTACATTACCCCTTTTTGCTTCCATGGATGAACTTTTTATTCCTTATATGCTCCAACACCTCATGTGCCTTTTTTTTTTTTTTCTGGTTCACTTCATCTTTTGTTGACCCATCTGTCAATATGGCTGCTCTCTAATATCTAAATACATTCACTTCCTACATACTCCATCCCTCCTATCTAATATTCAATTTTACTTTATCTAAACTTTCCTTAAAATGCGTATTTCCTAAGCATTGTGGTTTTAAAGGGCTTTAACCATTATACAATACATATTGGTTATAATACTGTACTCTTGGTACAAATAATGTACAGGAGGGCCCTGTTTGTATGGCTCTATGGTTCATGCCCTCATATGATAAGTGAAAATAGCTAGTATGTGGAAAAGAGCCATTTTTTCATTATTGAATGCATCTAAAATGCATGATAACGCGTTTAGACTGTCGTATTAAGTGCTCATTACAGCTAGGCATTAAAAAACAGGTAAAATGAAATAAGTACACAGTACATGCAATTTTTTTTTTTTCAACAAGTCGGCCATCTCCCACCGAGGCAGGGTGTCCCAAAAAGAAAGAAAAAATCCCCAAAAAGAAAATACTTTAATCATTCAACACTTTCACCTCACTCACACATAATCACTGTTTTTGCAGAGGTGCTCATAACACAACAGTTTAGAAGCATATACGTATAAAGATACACAACATATCCCTCCAAACTGCTAATATCCCGAAACCCCCTCCTTTAGAGTGCAGGCATTGTACTTCCCATTTCCAGGACTCAAGTCCGGCTATATAAAAATAACCGGTTTCCCTGAATCCCTTCACTAAATATTACCCTGCTCACACTCCAACAGATCGTCAGGTCCCAAATACCATTCGTCTCAATTCACTCCTCGAACATGCTCATACAAGCCTGCTGGAAGTCCAAGCACCTCGCCCATAAAACCTCCCTTACCCCTTCCTTCCAACCTTTTTGAGGACGATCCCTACCCCGCCTTCTTTCTCCTACAGATTTAAATGCTCTCCATGTCCTTCTACTTTGATCCATTCTCTCTAAATGACCAAACCATCTCAACAACCCCTCTTCAGCCCTCTGACTAATACTTTTATTAACTCCACACCTTCTCCTAATTTCCACACACCGAATTTCTGCATAATATTTACACCACACATTGCCCTTAGACAGGACATCTCCACTGCCTCCAACCGCCTCCTCGCTGCTGCATTCACAACCCAAGCTTCACACCCATATGAGAGTGTTGGTACTACTATACTTTCATACATTCCCTTCTTTGCCTCCATAGATAACGTTTTTTGACTCCACATATACCTCAATGCACCATTCACCTTTTTTCCCTCATCAATTCTATGATTAACCTCATCCTTCATAAATCCATCCACCGACATGTCAACTCCCAAGTATCTGAAAACATTCACTTCTTCCATACTCCTCCTCCCCAATTTGATATCCAATTTTTCTTTATCTAAATCATTTGATACCCTCATCACCTTACTCTTTTCTATGTTCACTTTCAACTTTCTACCTTTACACACACTCCCAAACTCATCCACTAACCTTTGCAATTTTTCTTTAGAATCTCCCATAAGCACAGTATCATCAGCAAAAAGTAACTGTGTCACTTCCCATTTTGTATTTAATTCCCCATTATTTAATCCCACCCCTCTCCCAAACACCCTAGCATTTCCTTCTTTTACAACCCCATCTATAAATATATTAAACAACCATGGTGACATTACACATCCTTGTCTAAAACCTACTTTTACCGGGAAGTAGTCTCCCTCTCTTCTACACACCCTAACCTGAGCCTCACTATCCTCATAAAAATTCTTTACAGCATTTAATAACTTACCACCTATTCCATATACTTGCAACATCTGCCACATTGCTCCCCTATCCACTCTATCATATGCCTTTTCTAAATCCATAAATGCAATAAAAACTTCCCTACCTTTATCTAAATACTGTTCACATATATGCTTCAATGTAAACACTTGATCTACACATCCCCTACCCACTCTGAATCCTCCTTGCTCATTCGCAATCCTACATTCTGTCTTACCTCTAATTCTTTCAATAATAACCCTACCGTACACTTTTCCTAGTATACTCGGTAAACTTATTCCTCTATAATTTTTACAATCTCTTTTGTCCCCCTTCCCTTTATATATAAAGGGACTATACATGCTCTCTACCAATATCTAGGTACCTTCCCCTCTTTCATACATTTATTAAACAAAAGTACCAACCACTCCAACACTATATCCTCCCTTGCTTTTAACATTTCTGTCATGATCCCATCAGTTCCAGCTGCTTTACCTTCTTTCATTCTACGTAATGCCTCACGTACCTCGCCCACACTTACATTCTGCTCTCCCTCCCTCCCAAAAGATGGTATACCTCCCTGGCCAGTGCATGAAATTACCACCTCCCTTTCTTCGTCAACATTTAAAAGTTCCTCAAAATATTCTCGCCATCTACCTAATAACTCTATCTCCCCATCTGCTAACTCCCCTACTCTGTTTTTAACTGACAAATCCATACGTTCCCTAGGCTTTCTTAACTTGTAAAGGCTGGAGGTGAGTACAATCGGGGACCCGACCTTAAAATACGGAGCCGGTTGCGTTTTTTTTTGCAACTGTTGTACGAATATGTTGGAATGTAATGAACTATGCCTTAGTTAAAAGAGAACAAAAATGTGAAACACCAAAAACAGGGTGCTGAATATGCAGTGTTCTGTACTGTGATTAGTTGGCAAGCAAGCTATAAAAAGAGAGTGGATTACAGTGGACCCCCGCATAACGATTACCTCCGAATGCGACAAATTATGTAAGTATATTTATGTAAGTGCGTTTGTACGTGTATGTTTGGGGGTCTGAAATGGACTAATCTACTTCACAATATTTCTTATGGGAACAAGTTCGGTCAGTACTGGCACCTGAACATACTTCTGGAGTGAAAAAATATCGTTAACCGGGGGTCCACTGTATTTTTATAATTGCACTATTAATTAATAATTACAGTCTCTCCTCACTTAATGACTGGGTTCCATTCCTAAGACCACGTTGGTAAACGAATTTGTCACTAAATGAGGATCATACTAAAATGACAGTGGGTTTGTGTCAAACGTCCCGGTAAAGGGATATTGTCACCTTTGCACCATTTATAACATTTCTGGTTTATTTTTAAATGTTTATTCAGTATTGTATTGTATATTGTAATAAACAGAATAGTGGAAATCAGCTCTAATATACATAATTTAGGTATGCATACTGGTCAGAGAGCCCGTCGTAAGTCATCAGTGAATGGGTATGTTGCTAAGTGAGGAGAGGCTGTATATAAATTATAGCTTAAGGAGAATTTTCTCTTATTTTAGATCTGGAACATCTTCTTTGGAGGTCGATACATTATTCTTCTGATGGGTTTGTTCTCCATGTACACTGGTCTCATCTATAATGATGTCTTCTCCAAGTCGATCAACTTATTTGGCTCATCGTGGCATGGAGCTTACAAGTGAGTGTATTTTTAATAGCAAATCCTGTATAAAGGTTAAATTATGACATTATAAGTTTTTTTTCTTTTAACACACCAGTCCTGTCCCACCAAGGTAGAATGGGAAATGGCCGATGTGTTAAAAAAAAAAATGAAAAAAATTCCAAGGAAATGTTATTGCAAATGCATGTAATAGATTTATTGAGTTTTTAATTTTGAAAATATTATGACCACAAAAATTGCAATACTAGTTGTAGACTAATTTGGTAAAAACATAGTTAAGCTTTTCATGTTTAAACAAAATTACACTTTACTGCGAATCTTTTAACAAATTTAAAATTTAAAATTAAGATTTAAATTAAAAGGTGTCATTTGTAATGTTTAGGTACAGTAATTTGAAAATATGGGTTACATTCCTTCCAGTCAGTAAGGTAGAGGATGAAAGAAGGGTAGCCTACCAACACTATTGTTTTTATTCCTTGAAATATTATCAAAAGTAATTTTGTAACGACTAGTAAGATCTAAAATACTGTATCTACTACTGAGGACATGAGAATTAGTGTTGTAAGGAGGACACAAGATTTATCTGGAAGAAAGGTACAGTAACTTTAGTTGCAATATGGTGGAAAGTGAGCTGGTTGGATAGTTGTTGGGTTGATGAGGGAGCAACCAGCAAGGTGCTGCATGAAGGATGTATGCAAAATAACCACAGGGGAAGCTATCATTTAACTCCCCTGTGGTTATTTTTGCATGTTTTATTGCTCGTTTGCTATTACTGCATTAAGGATGTAAATTAAGAACGAATAGTAAAAAATTGTTGCTTTTAAAATATTGCTTTTATTTTAAGTGCAATAGTTTAGGCTTTGGAATTAAGACTTCAAATATTTGTGCATTTTCCTCAGTTAGTGTTGTATTTCCTTACAGTGATTCCACCATTCAGCAAAACAAAGAACTAACGTTAGATCCAGCCGATGTTAAACAATATGATCAGTATCCATATCCATTTGGTCTGGACCCCATGTGGCAGTTGTCCAACAACAAAATCAACTTCTACAATTCATACAAGATGAAGATCTCAATTATTTTTGGAATAGTCCACATGTTGTTTGGTGTCATTCTTAGTGTTTGGAACCACAAGTAAGTTATTTGGTATCATTCTTAATGTTTGGAACCACAAGTAAGTCATTAAAACAATGTTGGATAGGAGTGAGTGGAGATGAATGGTTTTTGAGATGATGAGCTGTTGGAGTGTGAGCAGAGTAATATTTTGTGAAGGGTTTCAGGTAAACCAGTTAGCTGGGCTTGACTCCTGGAGGTGGGAAGTACAATGCCTGCCTGCACTCTGTAGGAGGGGTTTGGGATATTTTCTCTTGAGACATCTAAACTGTCTTATGTGAGTGCCTCTGGCAAGACAGTGATAGTGTGAATAATGGTGAAAGTGTTTCTTTTTTTGGGTCAATGTGCCTTGGTGGGAGATGGCCAGCATATTTAAAAAAAAAAAAATTTTTTTGATGAGAGGTGAAATAGGGTCAACTCTATTGCAATTTGAAGGTAAGATGCCATAATGGGGCTAATGAAAGGATATGTGCTTGGGCCATACAGAATTTTTTATTTATATGGTTACTCTCTCTGTACTTGATGGTTAATTCCATTTTGTCTAAGTAAGGAAGATTTCGTATGACTAGGCCATATGAAGGGAAAATTTAAACTTAATTTTGCTCTGCTCAAAAAAAAAAAAAAATGTACAGTATTTGTGTCAGGAATTTCATCATTAAAAATTAAATACCTATTTTAAAATTCATATTTTTACTAGGTAGTATTACATTCCTTTGTGTTTTTCATAGAATTTGCAATAATTTTCCTTTATTTGCTTTTCAGATTCTTTAACAAGGCAATGAACATCTACTGCGAGTTTATCCCACAAATAATTTTCTTAACGTGCTTGTTTGTTTACTTAGTACTACTCGTGTTCCATAAGTGGGTGTGGTATGGTGCTGGAGGGGATGTCTCTACTTCTCCAAGCTGTGCACCATCTATCCTCATCACTTTCATCAACATGGTTAGTGCTACACTTGGCATACAATTTATCATGCAAGCTTCAATCCTTTTGAATGAAGCAGAGTTTGACCTTGAAATTGTAATAAAAAGAAATTACTTTTGATTAGTGTTATTAAAATTTAGTTCTAAATATTTAGCCCCAATTTTTGTTCAGATAGGTGCAGAACGGCAATTAAAAATTGGATTACAGTATTGTAGCAAGTCAGTTTTGTACACTAATGGTTTTTAAACACCATGAAGCACTATATAAAAATGGATAGGTTGGTTCAGGTAGATGTAATATTTGTCAGTCACAATAGGTAATAATGGTAATATTGTTTACTCCTCAGGTACTGGTGAAGGGCTATCAGGCTCCTAAGGAAGGTGATGACTGTTCACCTTACATGTTTGCTGGACAGTTTGGAATACAAAGGTTCCTACTTGTTCTTGCCATTATATGTGTACCCTGGATGCTATGTGCAAAGCCATTCATTCTTCATCGAATGAACAAGAGAAGACAACTGGTAGGAAAATTCTTGAGATTAGTTTATTTTATATCCTAATTGTTTGTCAAAGTTCTTAATAACATCAGTGAGTTACCAAAGTGTAGCATGTAATGGTACAAAATAACAACACAGTAGTAAGATAAATGCAGTTGCAGTGTGTGGAACCTTTGTTGATGTTTTGCCCATGCTGTGAGCTTTATCATGTCATATGCAGGTATGACATGCAAAGCCCACTGCACGGTCGTAATATTATGAATACAGGTTCTATATAGTGGCATTTTTGTCTTGTTACCAACCCATCTTCTGTGTTGGAACTTGAAATGGAAATGTAACTAGTTTTTGTTCCCATAGTGTGACTACCATATGCAAAAATAGGATACCAAAACTGTTGAAAGAGTGAGATAGGCAACTGATTTTCAGTAGCATAGTGTGCTGGGATAGGTTTGAAGTTATGAGTTTTGCAGAATACCTTATTTGATCACACTATCATTATATTGTATATCCAGTTTATGTACACCTTTCAGTCTGTAGGGAATTTATAGTAAGTTACTTTCATAAGAGGGGAGGTACCTAGGGATTGGCGAAGAGCATGTATAGTCCCTTTATATAAAGGGAAAGGGGACAAAAGAGATTGTAAAAATTATAGAGGAATAAGTTTACTGAGTATACCAGGAAAAGTATACGGTAGGGTTATAATTGAAAGAATTAGAGGTAAGACAGAATGTAGAATTGCGGACGAGCAAGGAGGCTTCAGAGTGGGTAGGGGATGTGTAGATCAAGTGTTTACATTGAAGCATATATGTGAACAGTATTTAGATAAAGGTAGGGAAGTTTTTATTGCATTTATGGATTTAGAAAAGGCATATGATAGAGTGTATGGTGTAGGAGGTAGGTTACTGAAAGCAGTGAAGAGTTTTTACGAGGATAGTGAGGCTCAAGTTAGAGTATGTAGGAAAGAGGGAAATTTTTTCCCAGTAAAAGTAGGCCTTAGACAAGGATGTGTGATGTCACCGTGGTTGTTTAATATATTTATAGATGGGGTTGTAAGAGAAGTAAATGCGAGGGTCTTGGCAAGAGGCGTGGAGTTAAAAGATAAAGAATCACACACAAAGTGGGAGTTGTCACAGCTGCTCTTTGCTGATGACACTGTGCTCTTGGGAGATTCTGAAGAGAAGTTGCAGAGATTGGTGGATGAATTTGGTAGGGTGTGCAAAAGAAGAAAATTAAAGGTGAATACAGGAAAGAGTAAGGTTATGAGGATAACAAAAAGATTAGGTGATGAAAGATTTGAATATCAGATTGGAAGGAGAGAGTATGGAGGAGGTGAACGTATTCAGATATTTGGGAGTGGACGTGTCCAGCGGATGGGTCTATGAAAGATGAGGTGAATCATAGAATTGATGAGGGAAAAAGAGTGAGTGGTGCACTTAGGAGTCTGTGGAGACAAAGAACTTTGTCCTTGGAGGCAAAGAGGGGAATGTATGAGAGTATAGTTTTACCAACGCTCTTATATGGGTGTGAAGCGTGGGTGATGAATGTTGCAGCGAGGAGAAGGCTGGAGGCAGTGGAGATGTCATGTCTGAGGGCAATGTGTGGTGTGAATATAATGCAGAGAATTCGTAGTTTGGAAGTTAGGAGGAGGTGCGGGATTAACCAAAACTGTTGTCCCCGAGGGCTGAGGAAGGGTTGTTGAGGTGGTTCGGACATGTAAGAGAATGGAGCGAAACAGAATGACTTCAAGAGTGTATCAGTCTGTAGTGGAAGAAGGCGGGGTAGGGGTCGGCCTAGGAAGGGTTGGAGGGAGGGGGAAAGGAGGTTTTGTGTGCGAGGGGCTTGGACTTCCAGCAGGCATGCGTGAGCGTGTTTGATAGGAGTGAATGGAGACAAATGGTTTTTAATACTTGACTGCTGTTGGAGTGTGAGCAAAGAAACTTTTAAATGAAGGGATTCAGGGAAACCGGCAGGCCGGACTTGAGTCTGGAGATGGGAAGTACAGTGCCTGCACTCTGAAGGAGGGGTGTTAATGTTGCAGTTTAAAAACTGTAGTGTAAAGCACCCTTCTGCAAGACAGTGATGGAGTGAATGATGGTGAAAGTTTTTCTTTTTCGGGCCACCCTGCCTTGGTGGGAATGGGCCGGGTGTGATAATAAAAAAAAAAAAAAATAAAAATAAATAAAAGTGGATAGAGGAGAAATGTGGCAGATGTTGCAAGTATATGGAATAGGTGGTAAGTTACTAAATGCTGTAAAGAGCTTTTATGAGGATAGTGAGGCTCAGGTTAGGGTTTTGTAGAAGAGAGGGAGAATACTTCCCGGTAAAAGTAGGTTCTTTGACAGGGATTGTAATGTCACTATGGTTGTTTAATATATTTATAGATGGGGTTGTAAAAGAAGTAAATGCTAGGGTGTTTGGGAGAGGGGTGGGATTAAATTATGGGGAATCAAATTCAAAATGGGAATTGACACAGTTACTTTTTGCTGATGATACTGTGCTTATGGGAGATTCTAAAAAAAAATTGCAAAGGTTAGTGGATGAGTTTGAGAATGTGTGTAAAGGTAGAAAGTTGAAAGTGAACATAGAAAAGAGTAAGGTGATGAGGGTATCAAATGATTTAGATAAAGAAAAATTGGATATCAAATTGGGGAGGAGGAGTATGGAAGAAGTGAATGTTTTCAGATACTTGGGAGTTGACGTGTCGGTGGATGGATTTATGAAGGATGAGGTTAATCATAGAATTGATGAGGGAAAAAAGGTGAGTGGTGCGTTGAGGTATATGTGGAGTCAAAAAACGTTATCTATGGAGGCAAAGAAGGGAATGTATGAAAGTATAGTAGTACCAACACTCTTATATGGATGTGAAGCTTGGGTGGTAAATGCAGCAGCGAGGAGACGGTTGGAGGCAGTGGAGATGTCCTGTCTAAGGGCAATGTGTGGTGTAAATATTATGCAGAAAATTCGGAGTGTGGAAATTAGGAGAAGTGTGGAGTTAATAAAAGCATTATCAGAGGGCAGAAGGGGTTGTTGAGGTGGTTTGGTCATTTAGAGAGAATGGATCAAAGTAGAATGACATGGAAAGCATATAAATCTATAGGGGAAGGAAAGAGGGGTAGGGGTCGTCCTCGAAAGGGTTGGAAAGAGGGGGAAAAGGAGGTTTTGTGGGTGAGGGGCTTGGACTTCCAGCAAGCGTGCATGAGCGTGTTAGATAGGAGTGAATGGAGACGAATGATACTTGGGACCTGACGATCTGTTGGAGTGTGAGCAGGTAATAATTTAGTGAAGGGATTCAGGGAAACCGGTTATTTTCATATAGTCGGACTTGAGTCCTGGAAATGGAAGTACAATGCCTGCACTTTAAAGGAGGGGTTTGGGATATTGGCAGTTTGGAGGGATATGTTGTGTATCTCTATACGTATATGCTTCTAAACTGTTGTATTCTGAGCACCTCTGCAAAAGCAGTGATAATGTGTGAGTGTGGTGAAAGTGTTGAATGATGATGAAAGTATTTTCTTTTTGGGGATTTTCTTTCTTTTTTTTGGGTCACCCTGCCTCGGTGGGAGACGGCCGACTTGTTGAAAAAAAAAAAAAAAAAAAAAAAACTTTCATATGTTTTATCTGATTTATGTGCATAACTTAAGTTATTTAAATTATGCACAGTTGGAAACATGAATTAGGATGCCACCAGTAATCAAGCCTTGAAACTTGTGCGTAAAGATAATTGGTAAATACAGTAGTCCCCCTGTATCTACAAGGGTATACATTCCAAGGCCTACCTTGGGTACCTGAAACTGTGGATAGTAGTGAACTCTATATATGTATATATATATATATATGTCACTTTTCCTTTACACACACATCTTCTTTCAACAAACCGGCCGTATCCCACCGAGGCAGGGTGGCCCAAAAAGAAAAACAAAAGTTTCTCTTTTCAAATTTAGTAATTTATACAGGAGAAGGGGTTACTAGCCCCTTGCTCCTGGCATTTTAGTCGCTTCTTACAACACGCATGGCTTACAGAGGAAGAATTCTGTTCCACTTCCCCATGGAGATAAGAGGAAATAAACAAGAACAAGAACTAGAAAGAAAATAGCAGAAAACCCAGAGGGGTGTGTGTATATATATGCTTTGTAGATGAATGGTTCAGAGAACCGACATGTTGATAAATTAGACACATGTGCAACTCTTGGGTATCTTTATTGAGGAAACGTTTCGCCACACAGTGGCTTCATCAGTCCATACGTAGGAGAAAGTTGAAGAACAGGAGGAGAATGAGGTAATCAGTCCCTCAACCTTGAGTCGATGTGTTCAGTCCATCAATCTTGAATAGAATACAGCATATGAGCGGAGAAGCAGCTTATAAACCGTATGGCAGGAGAGGTGCAGCAGTCAAAGGTGGTGTCACATTTGTTCAATGTGGAAGTAGGTCGTGCCCAAGAATTAGGCAAGCGAAGAATTCCTAAGTATTAAGATCCCAAGAAGTTGCAGTGTCTGACAGGTTTGTAGATGAATGGTTCAGAGAACCAACATGTTGATGAATTAGACACATGTGCAACTCATTCTCCTCCTGTTCTTCAAGTTTCTCCTACGTATGGACTGATGAAGCCACTGTGTGGCGAAACGTTTCCTCAATAAAGATACCCAAGAGTTGCACATGTGTCTAATTTATCAACATGTCGGTTCTCTGAACCATTCATCTACAAACCTGTCAGACACTGCAACTTCTTGGGATCTTAGGAATTCTTCACTTGCCTAATTCTTGGGCACGACCTACTTCCACATTGAACAAATGTGACACCACCTTTGACTGCTGCACCTCTCCTGCCATACGGTTTATAAGCTGCTTCTCCGCTCATATGCCGTATTCTATTCAAGATTGATGGACTGAACACATCGACTCAAGGTTGAGGGACTGATTACCTCATTCTCCTCCTGTTCTTCAAGTTTCTCCTACGTATGGACTGATGAAGCCACTGTGTGGCGAAACGTTTCCTCAATAGAGATACCCAAGAGTTGCACATGTGTCTTAATTTATCATATACAGTGGACCCCCGCATAGCGACCTTAATCTGTGCAAGAGGGCTGGTTGTTATGCGAAATGTTCGGTATGCGAATGAATTTTCCCCATAAGAAATAATGGAAATCAAATTAATCCGTGCAAGACACCCAAAAGTATGCAAAAAAAATTTTTACCACATGAAATATACATTTTCCTACACACAAAGAGAAGGATACATGCACAATAGTAGAGTAGTACATGCACAATATATATTGTGCATGTACTACTCTACTAAATGAAGAATAAATGACACTTACCTTTATTGAAGATGCAGCAATGACTGATGAGACACTGTGTCCTGGGAGTGCCTTTTCCTCCTGAGTACTGTAGGTCCTGTTTGGCATTTTCTTCCAGAACATGCCTTATCACACTGTGTATGGCACTACGATTCTTAAATCTCTCAAACCAACCTTTGCTGGCTTTAAATTCACCAATATGAGCACTAGTTCCAGGCATTTTTTCCCTGTTCACCTGGGTGTTAGTCGACTGGTGTGGGTTGCATCCTGGGAGACAAGATTAAGGACCCCAATGGAAATAAGTTAGACAGTCTTCGATGACACTGACTTTTTTGGGTTATCCTGGGTGGCAAATTCTCTGGGGTTAATTGTTTCTTGGTATTCTCAATAAGCCACACCAACAACGGTGCTACAGCAGCAGCAGCAGCAGCTGACGGTGGTACAGCAGCAACAGACGATGCTACAGCAGCAACAGATGATGCTACAGCAGCAGCAGACGATGCTACAGCAGCAACAGACGATGCTACAGCAGCAACAGACGATGCTACAGCAGCAACAGACGATGCTACAGCAGCAACAGACGATGCTACAGCAGCAACAGACGATGCTACAGCAGCAGCAGACGATGCTACAGCAGCAGCAGACGATGCTACAGCAGCAACAGACGATGCTACAGCAGCAGCAGACGATGCTACAGCAGCAGCAGACGGTACTACAGCAGCAGCAGCAGCTGACGGTGGTACAGCAGCAGCAGCTGACAGTGCAGCAGCAGCTGACAGTGCAGCAGCAGCTGACGGTGGTACAGCAGCAGCTGATGGTGGTACAGCAGCAGCTGTACCACCAATAGTAGCGATGGTTGATTGGGGTTTATTATACAACCTGGCCAGCTCGGAGACACGCACTCCACTTTCATACTTATCAATGATCTTTTTCTTCATCTCCATAGTAATTCTCACCCTTATTGCTGTAGGGTTGGCACTAGAAGCCTTCTTGGGGCCCATGGTCACTTATTTTCCAGAAAAAATCACCAAAAACACTGTAATAATATGAAATGTTCCGATTGTATGCTTGGATGTTACCGCGGAGGCTGGCTGGTAAACAATGCCACCGGCGGAACATGTGAGCGTGGCTCAGGCCGCACATTGGACGCGTCTCGGACGAAGGGCGGTGAGCGGGTTTTTGGGCGGTATGCGAGGCAAAATTTTTGCGATCAAAGCGTCCGGTATGCGGATTGTACGGTATGCGGGGGTCCACTGTATATGCTTGTACATGTATGTGTAGTGTGACCTAAGTGTAAGTAGAAGTAGCAAGACGTACCTGAAATCTTGCATGTTTATGAGACAGAAAAAAGACACCAGCAATCCTACCATCATGTTAAACAATTACAGGCTTTTGTTTTACAATCACTTGGCAGGACGGTAGTACCTCCCTGGGCGGTTGCTGTCTACCAACCTACTACCTAGAACACACGCACACATGATAGTTTAATTGATAAAGTATGAAATAGAATTTGCACTTTTTCACTTATGGAAAACATTTCACTGCTTCTCTTAGGCTTTGAAGAACTGCCAGCATCACTACTTTTGCACTTTGAGGTCATTATTAAGCAAAATCGAAGGTTATTTTTGGGTCACAGTAAATCGCAGATACAGAACCCATGGATACAGGGATCCTACTGTATTCTCACTGAGATTTCTGATTAAAATCTGAATAAGAGGTGAGGTGTTTGCATAAAAGGTGTTGGTACACCTTGTTTTTTGTATTTATAGCATAGGAAATGTTTTTATGTTTTTATATGACTTACAGGATGCTAGCAATAAAAACAGAGGTAATGAGAAAAACTTGCAAACAGGTCCTAGTGTTTATGCTAATGATAATTCCAAAATTTTGGACTTTAACAAGGATAGTAATAGTGAAAAGCTAGAAGCTGAACCAAGCATTCATAAAAGTGAGGAGGATGGGGTTGATGCAAACCAAGATGAGGTATGTTATACTGCAGTAGCTTTCACTTAAGTGTGAATTAGTCATAACCAAAGATAGATGTGATGTCTTTTAATGTGAAGTTCTAACCATGTTATGGGTGGGGTTAGAACCCATGGCTCCAAGTTGTAACCCACCCATACTGGGGTTTATTTGCAATCATATTATTACAATTTTGTCAGTCCTGAAGTTTTTCCATCTGTAAACTGTGGCTCGGTCTTTGTCCTGTAAGGCAGGCCAAAGAAGGATTCTCCCTTTAATGTTTGGATTAGTGAAAACTTAGTTTTGCAAATATTTAATATGCACCCTTCTGTCTAGTTAGCTATTGCTATAATGTACATTGATTTTGTGTTTAGTTGTGACCTAAAACAGTTTTAGTAAGTATTTATAGCTTATAAGTTTGTGGGTTACAGTTCTGGTAGAGATGGACCATTAAAATGTTCTGTTGCTACATGGTCATGTATTGTTGGAGTATTTGCCATTGTTAGTTTTCCATTAACTCTAGGGTTTACTGTGTTACCAATACTTGCATACACCTATGCTCAGTCTTGAGATTCTTTGTTGAAAAATTAGAAAAAAATACTTTGACTTCAGCTCCAAACCAATTTCTGATTATTTATTCTACAGTTTTGGATCGCTCTCTAGCTAACAAACACGAACCCTCCACACATGTCTAAAATGATAGTGCACAAAGTATAAATGCATTTGATAGAAAATTAACCGAGAAGAAAATAAATTATTGAAAATAATTTTTCTGAATATACATTGTTCTTGTCTGGAGATCAGTGTTTATAAAACATTAATTGGTTCCAGAGTTTCTTGTTTGTAACTCTGGATCCTCATGAGTTAAATCATTGTAAGTTGAGGCTTTCACTATATGTACAGTAGATGTTGGCAACTGAGGTTTTACATTGTAAACGTGTAAACAAGGCATCATGTGGTCTCAGCCTTGGTTTGCCAGACAGACCCATGTTTAAGTCTATCTTAGTGTAGATGTTGTGTAATTAACTTCATGTATATCCTCGGATGCCTATCTGGACAGAACTTTTTACCTCAGTTTTTCTTATATTTTAAATACATTTGGTTACAGTGCATTACTCTTACCATATGTTACATTTTCCTTAGGTGATGCAGGCCAATGGAGTAGAAGGTGTGGTGGAGGATGGTGGAGGTGAGGCAGTAGCAGTGACTGAAGAACAACATGACATGAGTGAGGTAATGATTCACCAGGGCATCCACACAATTGAGTACGTCTTGGGTTCAGTGTCTCACACTGCCTCCTACCTTCGACTTTGGGCACTATCATTAGCCCACGCTCGTAAGTTCATGGATTGTCTGTTTTATTAATATTTAAGTTTCTCTAACAAGTCTAACACTTGCTATTAATATGCTGTAATGATAATTCATCAGTGTGCCCACTGTCTATGAATTTGCATGTAGGGGGGGTAGGGGTGAGTGAGGATACTAGCTGTTGGGCTCACCTCTTTTAGATCGACTTGAAATAGCTCTCAGTGTATTTTAAATTTGAAATCTTGAAAGACAACATCTCTTATTAGAATTTTCCAAGGGCACAAAGACACTTGTAGTAATCAATCAGTAAACTCTTATTTCATAATATGAAGTGCAGTACACACCACACATTACATATGCCCACACATAAGAAAGAAGATCCTTTTAATACATTTCTTGGCTTAATTTTTGTATGCTGTGGTAACAAATAAAATTATTTTCAGAGCTTAGTGAAGTATTGTGGAGGATGGTGCTACGTATTGGACTTACAATTGGTGGCGAGGGTGTGGGCGGAGGTATACTCACGTTTGTAATTTTTGCATTTTGGGCCACTCTGACCGTGGCTATTCTCGTGTTGATGGAAGGCCTCTCGGCTTTCCTCCACACACTTCGACTGCACTGGTGAGTTGGAATTTCTACAATAATTTGAGTTTAGTGCTGAGATCTTAAGGCTAGAATTATAATCTCCTTAACCTTTCAGAGGGGTTCCTTGATGTTGGTGAAGGACATTTGATTCAGGGAATTGGAGTTTTCCCTCTCTTCCTTGGATTAGACCTGATTACTGAAAGGTAATCAGGTAAAAAGGTCATCAGGCACTATGTGGCCCTGGGGGTTTATTGCATTCCCATGAATATAATAATCATAATCTATGTAAATCTGCATGAAGAATTTTTTATAAAATTTTAAATGAAAATTAAAAAAGGACAAGTGAAAATTTAACGGTGGGAGACGACCAACTTGTTGAAAAAAAAAAAAAATATATAAAGTGGGCAAAAATGTTGTGGAAGGAGTAGTAGGTAAATTTGGGGTGCCAGGGGTAAATGAAAATGGGGAGCCTTTAATTGAGCTATGTGTAGAAAGAGGTTTGGTAATAAGTAATACATATTTTATGAAGAAGATGATAAATAAATATACATGGTATGATATAGCACGTAATGAAAGTAGTTTGTTAGATTATGTAAAGGTTGATGGGTAGGCTCCAGGATGTCCATGTTTATAGAGGGGCAATTGATATATCGGATCATTATTTAGTTGTAGCTACAGTTAGAGTAAGAGGTAGATGGGAAAAGAGGAAGGTGGCAACAAGTAAGAGGGAGGTGAAAGTGTATAAACTAAGGGAGGAGGAAGTTCAGGGGAGATATAAGCAACTATTGGCAGAAAGGTGGACTGGTGCAAGTATGAGCAGTGGGGGGGTTGAAGAGGGTTGGAATAGTTTTAAAAATGCAGTATTAGAATGTGGGGCAGAAGTTTGTGGTTATAAGAGGGTGGGTGCAGGAGGAAAGAGGAGTGATTGGTGGAATGATGAGGTAAAGGGTGTGATACAAGAGAAAAAGTTAGCTTATGAGAGGTTTTTACAAAGAAGTGTTACAAGAAGAGTAGAGTATATGGAGAGTAAAAGAAAGGTAAAGAGAGTGGTGAGAGAGTGCAAAAGGAGAGCAGATGATAGTGGGAGAGGCACTGTCAAGAAATTTTAATGAAAATAAGAAAAAATTTTGGAGTGAGTTAAATAAGTTAAGAAAGCCTAGAGAACAAATGGATTTGTCAGTTAAAAACAGAGTAGGAGAGTTAGTAGATGGGAAGATGGAGGTTTTGGGTAGATGGCAAGAATATTTTGAGGAACTTTTAAATGTCGACGAAGAAAGGGGGGTGGTAATTTCATGCACTGGCCAGGGAGGTATACCATCTTTTAGGAGTGAAGAAGAACAGGATGTGAGTGTGGGGGAGGTGCGTGAGGCATTACGTAGAATGAAAGGGGGTAAAGCAGCTGGAACTGATGGGATCATGACAGAAATGTTAAAAGCAGGGAGGGATATAGTGTTAGAGTGGTTGGTATTTTTGTTTAATAAATGTATGAAAGAGGGGAAGGTACCTAGGGATTGGCAGAGAGCATGTATAGCCCCTTCATATAAAGGGAAGGGGGAACAAAAGAGATTGTAAAAATTATAGAGGAATAAGTTTACTGAGTATACCAGGAAAAGTGTACGGTAGGGTTATAATTGAAAGAATTAGAGGTAAGACAGAATGTAGGATTGCAGATGAGCAAGGAGGTTTCAGAGTGGGTAGGGGATGTGTAGATCAAGTGTTTACATTGAGGCATATATGTGAACAGTATTTAGATAAGGGTAGGGAAGTTTTTATTGCATTTATGGATTTGGAAAAGGCATATGATAGAGTGGATAGAGGAGCAATGTGGCAGATGTTGCAACTATATGGAATAGGTGGTAAGTTACTAAATGCTGTAAAGAGTTTTTATGAGGATAGTGAGGCTCAGGTTAGGGTGTGTAGAAGAGAGGGAGACTACTTCCTGGTAAAAGTAGGTCTTAGACAGGGATGTGTAATGTCGCCATGGTTGTTTAATATATTTATAGATGGGGTTGTAAAAGAAGGAAATGCTAGGGTGTTCGGGAGAGGGGTGGGATTAAATTATGGGGAATCAAATACAAAATGGGAATTGACACAGTTGCTTTTTTCTGATGATACTGTGCTTATGGGAGATTCTAAAGAAAAATTGCAAAGGTTAGTGGATGAGTTTGGGAGTGTGTGTAAAGGTAGAAAGTTGAAAGTGAACATAGAAAAGAGTAAGGTGATGAGGGCATCAAATGATTTAGATAAAGAAAAACTGGATATCAAATTGGGGAGGAGGAGTATGGAAGAAGTGAATGTTTTCAGATGTGTACTTGGGAGTTGACGTGTCAGCGGATGGATTTATGAAGGATGAGGTTAATCATAGAATTGATGAGGGGAAAAAAGGTGAGTGGTGCATTGAGGTATATGTGGAGTCAAAAAACGTTATCTATGGAGGCAAAGAAGGGAATGTATGAAAGTATAGTAGTACCAACACTCTTATGTGAGTGTGAAGCTTGGGTTGTGAATGCAGCAGGGAGGAGGCAGTTGGAGGCAGTGGAGATGTCCTGTCTAAGGGCAATGTGTGGTGTAAATATTATGCAGAAAATTCGGAGTGTGGAAATTAGGAGGTGTGGAGTTAATAAAAGTATTAGTCAGAGGGCTGAAGAGGGGTTGTTGAGGTGGTTTGGTCATTTAGAGAGAATGGATCAAAGTATAATGACATGGAGAGCATTTAAATCTGTAGGGGAAGGAAGGCAGGGTAGGGATCGTCCTCAAAAAGGTTGGAAGGAAGGGGTAAGGGAGGTTTTGTGGGCGAGGGGCTTGGACTTCCAGCAGGCGTGCATGAGCGTGTTCGATAGGAGTGAATGGAGACGAAAGGTATTTGGGACCTGACGATCTGTTGGAGTGTGAGCAGGGTAATATTTAGTGAAGGGATTCAGGGAAACCGGTTATTTTTATATAGCCGGACTTGAGTCCTAGAAATGAGAAGTACAATGCCTGCTCTCTAAAGGAGGGGTTTTGGGATATTAGCAGTTTGGAGGGATATGTTGTGTCTCTTTATACGTATACGCTTCTAAACTGTTGTGTTCTGATCACTTCTACAAAAACAGTGATTGTGTGTGAGTGAGGTGAAAGTGTTGAATGATGATGAAAGTATTTTCTTTTTGGGGATTTTCTTTCTTTATGGGTCACCCTGCCTCGGTGGGAGACGGCCGAGTTGCTAAAAAAAAAAAAAAATTAATTGTATATAATATAAAGTTTGTTTTACAATTATGAGATACCAAAGAAAGAAAATAACAGTTGGCAGTTAATGGAATTACATAGCAAAAAGTTACAGGGTATTTTTTTAAATGCTTCAGCTTTGCTTATTTTATTGGTTCTGATAATCTACTTGCACTTCATGCATTAAATTTTACTAGTTTTCAAGTTATTGAAAATACCTAACAAAAGTATTTGTCTTCTTCATTTAACAGGGTGGAGTTCCAAAGCAAATTCTACGGAGGCACTGGTTATCCGTTTGTTCCGTTTGCCTTTGAAACCATTCTTGATCAGGCTGAAAACACTGTGGTTGAACAGTAAGGATCTTATAGAAGTGGGACCATGTGACTGAGGGATTGTGGTGTTGAAGCTTTCTGCAGGCAGTACATCACTAACCACTGTATGGGTGGGGATTAAACTCACGGGAAGTGAATCGCAAAACTCCAGACCAACACGTTAGTCTGGAGCTTTACAACTCTTGCTGCGAGTTCAGTTTCCACCCGTACCATAGTTTGCTTGCAATTGTATCATTATGATTTTGTGAGTAAGTACATCACTACCCAGTCACCCTGTCCTCTTTTTATTTACTGTGTTCCTGTCAACAAACACTTTCAAGATATCTTCCTATGATTTTTCTCCATTTTGTGAGGGTTGATTTTGTTGTGATATTACTTGCAGTAGAATTATCATACAGAGGTGGACAGTTAGGTTGGAAATTATGCAGATGGTATCTGACAGTCATGCCAGACCTAAGGAAAGAATATTGAGGCTTTAAACTTGTAAGGTAAATGTCTGTATTCATGCTATGTAGTAGTGTGCGTTGCTTCTATTGAAACGAAATGAATGACCTTGTAAGGTAAATGTCTGTATTCATGCTATGTAGTAGTGTGCGTTGCTTCTATTGAAACGAAATGAATGACCTTACACTTTTACTTACATAATTACCTGGATTAACAAAGGAAAAACTGATAAAAGAGCTGAGGAAAGAATTAGAAGTTGCCAGAGTTTCTATTGTATTGTTATTTTCAGTTCTGAAATACTTATCCATGTTTAAATATGTAGTAATTATAGCATGGAAAGCTTATAAATTTAAAAAAAGACTCTTTAAAAATAAAATAGCTTTGATTATTAGCTTTCATTGTAAAGAAGTACTTTTACTGTTACCACTGGTCATGGCTGAGGTATGGAATTTGAATTTGTAAAACCATCTAGTCTGTAGTATGATAAATTTACTCTGCTATAAAGAATACTCTATAGGTAAAGTGTTCCACATAAACTGAAAGGCATTTTGTTCAGTATTCCTGTAATTGTTACCCCTAGTAAATTTCCCTTACATGTGTATATATCTATGTATTATTTATCTTTCATGCATTCATATCAGGCTGACAAACTTAATTGCCAAAGTGACCATACAGCAATTTCTCTGCTTTTAAATTATTTTATGCTTCAGGCATAGTAGTCTTGTATGCTTTAACTAAGTACTGTGTGCTAAACTTCAATGTATGTTTGTCCTCTCTTTTATATATGTGATGGTGGTGTTAGTTCTTTCCTTAATCAAGATACAAGATTACTCATTGCTAAAATAAAAAAAAAAGTCTTTTTGAAATTAATGATCTTTGAGAACTGAACTCCAATTCATCTTTGTAATTTCTAATTACATCTTTTTTTTATAGGCTTGCGCTTTTTACTTTTTATATTAGATGATGGTTCACCTGTAGTGCAAATTGTGGGGACCCATAGCCTTGGAGTAGATAAAAAGACTTGTCTAAATTATTTCGCTTTTATTTTTGATAGCGGGATTTGTGCAGAATAGTAAATATAAACTTAGTGTTTTATAATCAATTAATTTCGTTTGTTCATTTAGAAAATGCCATTTAAACTATTTCTATTTTTGCTCTTGTTTATTTCTCTATTTATTGCTATGTTTTTTGCTCTTGTCTATTATCCATAATGTGTTTTAAAATAAAATGTCAAATTCTTACAGTTCTTACTTCCTTTTGTAAGTACAGTACTGTATAATATTGAGAATGTACGCTGTTATAATAAGCTTTCAACAAGTATGACTGCTTTCTGATACCAAAATACTTTGTCAGGATACCAGATAACACACAGCAATGTTTTCTTTCAAATGTTTTAGGGACCACTTATGATTTGAATCATGGTTTTATCATATTTTTCATTGAGAGGTTAATTCTTGGTTTCTGAGGCACATTAATTGTACAATAAAAAAATTACAATCATCTGGCTGGTGCAACTTATAATAACGGTGAAAGGACATGCGCACAACTAAAGTGACATTTTTACTGTAGCAATGTTTCACTCTCACATTACTACAATAAAAATGTTGCTTTAGTTGTACGTGTCCTTTTACATAACATACTGTTAGTAATTCTACCAGCATTATTACACTTGTAACTAACCCACAGATTAGAGATAAAACTTGGATAACATTTTGATTCATCTTGGATTATTACCAACTTGTGGCGTCTAATGTTGTAAGAATGGCCGTAATGTTGCCCAAGTTTCATTGCCAAATTGTTGGGCTTGTTGCCAGTAAATATTATGATTCTTAGCTAAAGGTTGGCAGATGTATTTTGTTATTGGTACAACGTAAGTGGATGAATTGTTTGGCTGTTAGGGGTAAGAGGGTTGTCATTAACCTACTAGTTGAAATGAACCCATGCAGATTTAATAGCCCTACTTGACATGTGAACACATTTTTGCTTCCAGTTTTTTTCCTTTGTGGTTATGATTGTATATCTTCAATATTATCAGTTAATCTTGAGTATCCTTGTAGTGATCATTTGCTCATTTTATTGAACTTCCCAGGAAAACTGTTTTAATTTTCTTAAATAGTACAATGTGTTGTGTGATATAGTGATTATAATATCACATGTCTTAGTATTATTACTTAGCGTAATAACCTACTATATGTGAATGCCAATTTATTATAGCTTATAGGACTAATGAAAGGTAATAAGAGTATTCCTTAAATATCTACTGTAGTATTTTCCTCAGAGTTTTTTAATTTTACACCTCATGGCAAGAATTTGACAAATACTGTGTTACAAATGGAGGCATGTATGCACCAATTAATATATATTAGTATTGAAATTTTGTGATTTTTTTTCTAACATGAAAATCTGAGAAGGAAATGTGTGTGCTTGCCCAAGTCTCAGCTGAACAGTGACACTAAAAATAACCAATCTAGCAAAAACACACCGAATGAATACTGCTGGGAAAAACAAATGGGGCAGGAGTGTAATCTTCAAATTATAAAAGTACAAAAATTATTTTGCAAATCTCAGTGTTGATATTAAGAAAGGAAGTTTAAAGATAATTCATTAAACTGCCTGTGTTGATAAAGCACCAGATGAATTTGAAAGTTCATCTGAAGAATCTCTTGTAGTGTTGCTAGTAGAGTACAGTAAGTCCACACTTAGTCATTGATAGGTTCTTGGAAACTGCGACTTCAAACAAAACAATTTACATGTATAACGAAACCAATTTTACCATAGGCTAATTGACACAAACATCAGGGGTGCACAGTGCATCTTTAGCACTCATTGCAACAGCGTTAAATCAAGGAATAAATGTTAAAAGAAAATTGTAAGGAGTGCCTCCTACCAGCACACAGGTCAAAGACAAATGTGCAGATTCCACACACAGTGGCCCCGGCTGGGAATCCATTTTTTCCTCATCATTGTAACAAAACAACGTTAAGTGAGGACTTGCTGTATAATGCAGTAAATAACAGCTCCTGTGTTCAGCAGAACTATCAAGTAAAGTACTGTATACTTTTTTTATTTTTTAATGAGATATGGAATGGCTCAAAGGAACCCACATGGAGAAAATAAAAGGAATGTTTTGGCCAACCATTGTGACTCGGTGCACTGCTAAGAGAAGCTCTTTAGTATGAAATATTCATTACATTAATTATCCAGCCTTACTTTTTCCTCCATGTTGATTTGTTTGTCCCTATGACCAGTGTTTATTACTTTTTTTTAAATATATGAGTTATATGGCTTATGAAGTCTGTAACTGAGTAAGGAACTGCAACTATGACAGGCATTAATTAGCTCTTTAAGATGTTGGATACTGCACTGTATTTGACGGCTTTGTGTTTCTACATCAGTTCTGTTAAAACCAAAATGAATTTAAGACATCCAATATGTTTGTCAATATTCAGCATCAGTTGCTGTCTATGGCCAGTAATGTCATGGTATACATTGGTTGCTTTATTCATAGACTTTTCAAAAACTGTTTTATAAAAGGATTGAATAACTTAGGGGGTTTAGCACTGTTTATAGATGTAGTCCCCCTGAAGGGAGGTGCCTTCATGGAGGATAAGTCCAAGGAATTTGACCAATCCTCCACTTCCTTGGCTCAAACGTGATTGCCTCCCATATTCCCAGGTGCTGTATGACCTCTCTAGGGTTGACACATTCACATGAATGTCATACACTCATAATGTGGATTTAATAATAATGAACTGTGTGACCCTCATGGGTTTAGTGCTTAGTTATGATTATAATAATGAAAAGACTGATGCCATTTTTATTTTAATTTTACCCACATTTCAAATCGGTGGTAGAATGTGAGTCTGATCACACAGAGATTATAATAAAATACAGTGTGGTATAAGTTACATAAATATTTTTGTGTATTGTAATTACTCTTAACATCAAAAGTTGTTGTGTGGATGTGTTGTAAGAAGTAGAAATTTCAAGTTTATCTCTTAGAGGTGTGCTGGAAAAAGGTTTTCATGGTGTGTGCAAGTGTGTGCCTTTGCACATGAAGGTCAAAATTTTACAGGGCGCTACAGCATTCTATGATCACTGGTAATCTTGATTTCATTTGTATAAACATATGATTTTTTTTTTTAATATTTCAGTTTCATTCTTAAAGGAAAGAAGGCCACAGTGCATGTTTTAAGTGACTAGATAAAATAATTCTAGCTTGTGAAACTATTGGTTTTTAAGAAAAACATGAATTTAGCCATACAGATGATTATGCTACTTTTATAACTATTCTTAGCATGAGCAGGCTTACTAGAGCAGAAAATCATTATTGTAATTACTGTTCTTTTATTTAATGTTTTATTACATAATCCCTAGTCATAGTACTGGCAACTTAAAAACCTGATTTGTTATGTTCTTCAATAAATTTCTGTTAGAAAATAAGTGCTTTATTACTTTCCAGTATTGTATAAATTTTGATAAACATCAAAAGTAACAAATACAGTGGTACCTTGAGTTACAAACTTAATTCGTTCCAGAAGGCTGTTTGAGTGCCGACACCAAACGAATTTGTTCCCATTAGGAATAATGTAAATTAGATTAGTCAGTTTCAGACCCCCAAAAATACACTTACAAAAGCACTTACAAAATTTTTTTTTTTTTTTTTTTTCAACAAGTCGGTCGTCTCCCACCGAGGCAGGGTGACCCAAAAAAGAAAGAAAATCCCCAAAAAGAAAATACTTTCATCATCATTCAACACTTTCACCACACACACACATTATCACTGCTTTTGCAGAGGTGCTCAGAATACAACAGTTTAGAAGCATATACGTATAAAGATACACAACATATCCCTCCAAACTGCCAATATCCCAAACCCCTCCTTTAAAGTGCAGGCATTGTACTTCCCATTTCCAGGACTCAAGTCCGACTATATGAAAATAACCGGTTTCCCTGAATCCCTTCACTAAATATTACCCTGCTCACACTCCAACAGATCGTCAGGTCCCAAGTATCATTCGTCTCCATTCACTCCTATCTAACACGCTCGTGCACGCTTGCTGGAAATCCAAGCCCCAAGTTGGGAGCTGTTCGAAACTCAAAGTACCACTGTACTAAACTACTGTACTTCCTTTATATTAAAATAGAGCCTATGAGAAAGCTCCAAAATTCTTCCACTAACATTGTCTTTCATATGTTGTCCTCTCCACCCTTACTTATCCTTTGATACTGCATCCCTTCCCTGCCCTGCCCTGCCTGCAGTGCTGTATGACCCTAGTGGGTTTAGCGCTTCTTCTTTATTATGATTTTGTCTTGTACTATTATTGTAGAGGGACTTACATGTGGTCTTGCTTTTGTAATTTACATACTTATTCTGCTTTAGTTCCCCTTCACCATCAAGGGAGGTTCTTTGATGCTGGTGAGGGGCTCTTGATCTTGTCCCCCCTCCCCTCCACAAGTGCTGTATAATTCCATTAAAAAGAATAAACAAAGCAGATCTAAATAACTTGCCACCATTCATATATACAAAAGCAGCTCATGTACTGTCACCCATTATTGCAATACTGTTTAACAAATTTGTTGAGTCCTCAACCATTCCATTCATACTCAAGACAGCAAGGGTTATCCTGATCCTCAAAGGAGGTGATCCAACTGATGCGAACAACTATAGACCTATATCAAACTTGCCCTTACTTTCTAAAATATTCGAAAAAATAATACACAAACGACTTTACTCCTACCTTATGTCCAACAACATACTTAACCCCTGCCAGTTTGGGCTTAGTATGAATGATGCTATTATACAAATGCTTGAACTAATATATACAGCCCTCGATAAAAATGAATATCCACTGGGGCTCTTCATTGACCTATGGAAAGCATTTGATACAGTGGACCACAATCTCCTGCACCTAAAACTAAATCATTACAGCATCAGACAACATTCTTTCAATTACCTAAAATCTTACCTTAACGATAGACATCAGTACGTATACGCAAATGGAGTCAACTCCACTATCCAGCCTGTAGCTGTCGGAGTGCCCCACGGTAGTGTCCCAGGCCCACTCTTTCTCATCTACATCAATGATCTCCCCAATGCATCTCAATTCCTTAAACCAGTTCTATTTGCAGATGACACTACTTAGGTGTACTCCCACTCAAACCCAGCTATACTTAGAGGCACTAAACAATGAGCTGCTAAATATATATACGTACTTGTATGATGACCAACAAACTCACTCTCAACACTAACCTTTACAAAGAAATGAAATCTTTACTCTTTATTCTGTATGGGTTTAGCACTCATGATAATAAAATTGAGTGCTTCCCTATTCGACTGTCCTATATATCAGTGAGCACACACAATTTACCTCCAATGTTGTCACCGCTCTAACACCCTTACTTTATCTTCTCTCCTTCCTGACGGGCCCACCTTGACAGACTCCTTCTTTGACTTTTTGTCATCAACAGATTACACCAACTCTGATAGTACTTCCTGTAGCACTCCTCACTGCCCTTACTAACTCTCCCTCTGTTATACTCTTCACCCTTGCTGGTCTCTGATCAGGCATATTACACTTTTCAGCACACCCTGCCTTGCAGCACTGTATGACCCTTATGGCTTAGCACTTGGTTATGAAAATGATAATACTCCCCTATGACTATATCAATAGTAATTTAAATCTATTCTTACAGTTTCTTTCAAGGTTTAGTTACTTCAAGTTCTCTTCCTGAGTACACATTTATGTTGAAGTTTGGCACTGCTTCAATACTCAGTACTGCTGTAGGTTTACTTCACACATGATGCATTGCAGACTTTTTCATTACCTTGAGCTGGAATCTCGCATGCCAAAGTGGCATTTATTCCTTGTTTCTGCTCCCCTGATGGCAGAGCTTGCTTCTGGAAAACGGTTCTTGGGTGCGAAGTAAAATGGAAGGCTTTGTGGTATCCCTGCTGAATCACTCTGCTGGTCATGTGACATTCCTTTATGGACTACTGCTGTATGATCCTTGTGAGTTTGGCACTTCTCCAATATTGTATAATAAACAATTGGCTAATGGGTGATGTTGGCCTGCTAATGCATTTGCTGCTCTAATTCAGATCATGGGTGTTGATCCCTTCAAGGTGGATGCCATGATGCAGGTAAAGGACAGTAGATTTAAGGAATTAGAGCTATCCACCTTTTCCATGGAACAAAACTGATTGCCTCCTATCTCATAGCAGCGCTGTATAGCCCTTGTGGCTTAGCGCTTCTTTTTGATTATAATAATAAAATCCTATCTCATAGGCTTAGCATGAAGTTTCTGTTTCCTGTAAGAGTTTTTCTTTTAACACAGGCCATCTCCCACCAAGGTAGGGTGGGAAATGTTAAACCCTTATGGGTCATACTGCATGTGGGAGTTGAGCAAGAGGAGGGCAGTTCCAAATCTATGGATCACAAGCTGTATAGTCCTTGTGGCTTAGCGCTTCTTTTTGATTATAATAATAATAATATGGATCACAAGCTCTTCATCATCCCTTGAAGAATAGTAATACAGTGATCCAAAACTTACATTATACTTCATGGATCTGTTGAGACCAGCAGTGCTCTTCACTATTTTTAAATTCTCATCACAAGGGTTAATAAAAAGAGTTTGATCAACACATTATATTTACATTCAAATTTGTATAATGCACATACCATACTGCATATGCATATGCCAGTGATGGGCTTTTGATCCAAGGAACTGGTTTTATTCTTGGATCAAACCTGAATGCCTCCCATTCCCCAAGCGCTATGTGACCCCCTACAGATTTAGCGCTTCCTCGTGAATAAAATGGAAAAATGCATATGCATATGTATTTTTTATCTGATGTGTCAGGGAGTAGATGGGGAGGTACAGTCTATTTAGTTTTCAAAATTAATAAAATTGTACAATTGAGAATTTCATATAAGAATCTCATTTGCAAAATGAGTAAATATATTTGTGTCTAGTAGTATAAATTCTGGTGATACCTAAGAGTATGTACCATAACCTAACTACACAACAACTAATCTTGAATATCTTGCATGAGTTAAGTCAATCTCAACATGCAAGTCAGCGCTGTATAACCCTTGTTGGTTTAGCGCTTAGTAATGATTATAATAATAATGAAGGCAGGTAAGATGAATGACACAAGATGGCTGGGTTGTGTGAGGAGAAAGTGAAGAGGGTTTTAACCTCTAACAAGTTTTTTAACATCTGTTGCCCCTGTTTGCCTAGCAAACAGGGGCAACAGATGTTAATCAACAGGTGTTAATCAACTTCTGTGGAGTCACAACCCTGAGAAAGACCTCATTAAAAATTAAATCGCATTATGTGGCTTCGATATAAAAAAAAATACAAATGCACGTCAGTGAGGCACAAGGGTTAATGAAGCAGAGAAAGACATTGGAAAGAGCTGAGTGAATGAGTGAAGGGATGAATGGACAGATGGTAGTATGTGGTAAAACAATGATATAAACAAGATGGGAAATTCAAGAGTACATGAATGGGATCAGGGATGATGAACCTATCAAATTGTGCGATAAACCTTCACACCATATACTTATATATCCAGTCAGATAGTGTAGTCTGAAACTGTATATTAGATATATCTAGAACACGAGCAAGGCTGCAGTCACCATGTCTCTCAAGCTCTTTACAGTATATATTTCTTTTTTACTTTTCAAAGACCTCCAATAGGAATAAAAAAGATGACTTATTTTAGTTATCCTATGTTGGCTATACATTACTAACATACAGTATACATCTAACAATAATGTGTAATTGCAGTTATAAAAATGTACAAGTTTGTAAATAATTTACAACATAGCAAACCTGGATATTTTATTATTACTATTAATATTATAGACGTGAAGAAATCAAAATAAAAGGGCAAGTCTTTTTTTTTTTTTTTTTTTTTTTTGCATAGTATAATTTAATATTTATTTAAAGTGCTAAACTTGCAAGAGGATTGGGAACAGTGGAGATGATAATTAGGTTTGATTTGAGGGAGAGGAGGATAGCCCCAATTCCTTGAATCAAGAGCCCTTCACCAATACCATGGCACCCTCCTCCCCACTTGGTGTGTGTGTGTGTGTGTGTGTACTCACCTAATTCACCTAATTGTGGTTGCAGGGGTCGAGACTCAGCTCCTGGCTCGTGTGCGTGTGTGTGTGTGTGTATGTGTGTGTGTGTGTGTGTGTGTGTGTGTGTGTGTGTGTGTGTGTGTTAGTGTGTATGTGTGTGTGTGTGTGTGTGTGTGTGTGTGTGTGTGTGTGTGTGTGTGTGTGTGTGTGTGTGTGTGTGTGTGTGTGTGTGTGTGTGTGTATGTGTGTGTGTCTAACTGTGGGAACAATATGAGTCTGGCTTAAGTGGTAGCGCCTATGTCTAGCACCTGAAGGAGCTTGGGTTCGATCCCTGGAGTACTATTCTGGGGGAAAAGGTTCAACACCCCACTGCAAATATTAAGTTAATAATCTGAATAAAATATTGTATATCTCATCAGTGGGAATGAGAGAGAGAGAGAGAGAGAGAGAGAGAGAGAGAGAGAGAGAGAGAGAGAGAGAGAGAGAGAGAGAGAGAGAGAGAGAGAGAGAGAGAGAGAGAGAGAGAGAGAGAGAGAGAGAGAGAGAGAGAGAGAGAGAGAGAGAGAGAGAGAAATAAGCAAGAGATTGTAGTGAAAATTGTTAGGTACTGATTTAGTTTGTTGGATATAAAGTATATAGACTATGCGAGTTACTTCAGGCTGTAATTCACCTTATTCCTAACACCAGGAATACCTCTTAAATGTATATATACTAAAATATATACCTCTCGGTATATAAACTGAGGCATATATACATCTCAGAGTAAATACAGATATATAACTCACAGTGTCTCAACACTGATATGCTGTACAGTAGACCTGTGTGTGTGTTCTCACCTACTTGTGGTTGCAGGGGTCGAGTCATAGCTCCTGGCCCTGTAAAATATATATATATATATATATATATATATATATATATATATATATATATATATATATATATATATATATATATATATATATATATATATATATATATATATATATATATATATATATATATATATATATATATATATATATATATATATATATGGCTGGTTTCACCCAGTGTTAATTTCACAAGAGATGCAGCAAGAATACTGAGCAAGGATGTGATGTAAACAGTGTCGACACTCAAGGTTGACACAGTCTCAGTCTCTTCTCTTAAGTTTTATAAAAAATAAACATTACTTGCCCTTATATATTGTCTTTATTCCCTGACTGGTAGATTTTTTTTTTTTTCATCGGCCAGTTGACACTGAGCTGTAAAAATGTTGAGAATATTAAGGTAATATGTTGTTGAATAAGAACATAAAGAAAGAACACTGCAGGAGGCCTACTGGCCCATGCTTGGCAGGGTCTTCTCTAACCCAAACACACTTAAAAAATATTTTCATAATGTTGGTAAGTGTTAGTTTTGCCTGCGTTTTGCGACTCTCACAGCTGGTGGGGGTTCGAATGCATGGCTTGGACGGTGTCCTGAAGCTGACTTACCATTGGTTCGACCCCCATTATGTTCTGGGGGTTGTGACAGTTGTCTTATTTCAGTTTTCTGAGTCTGGAGAGTGACATGTTGGTGGTGCTGTAGACAACTTGAGAGACTGTGTTCACTGTTCATTGTGTTCACTTTTCATGGTGTTCACTGTTCATGGCGTTCACTGTTCATGGTGTTCACTGTTCATGGCGTTCACTGTTCATGGCGTTCACTGTTCATGGTGTTCACTGTTCATGGTGTTCACTGTTCATGGCGTTCACTGTTCATGGCGTTCACTGTTCATAGTGTTCACTGTTCATTGCGTTCACTGTTCATGGCGTTCACTGTTCATGGTGTTCACTGTTCATGGTGTTCACTGTTCATGGCGTTCACTGTTCATGGCGTTCACTGTTCATGGTGTTCACTGTTCATGGTGTTCACTGTTCATGGTGTTCACTGTTCATGATGGTGTTCACTGTTCATGGTGTTCACTGTTCATGGTGTTCACTGTTCATGGTGTTCACTGTTCATGATGGTGTTCACTGTTCATGGCGTTTACTGTTCATTGTGTTCACTGTTCATGGTGTTCACTGTTCATGGTGTTCACTGTTCATGGTGTTCACTGTTCATTGCGTTCACTGTTCATGGCGTTCACTGTTCATGGTGTTCACTCTTCATGGTGTTCACTGTTCATGATGGTGTTCACTGTTCATGGTGTTCACTGTTCATGGTGTTCACTGTTCATGGCGTTCACTGTTCATGGCATTCACTGTTCATGGTGTTCACTGTTCATGGTGTTCACTGTTCATGGTGTTCAGTGTTCATGATGGTGTTCACTGTTCATGGTGTTCACTGTTCATGGTGT